CTGATAACATCAAGCTCCCAAAGTGCAACTGAAAGTCTTCGTCAGCATATAATTTGGAGGTGCGTTGCAACCAGTTATTTTACACTTTACTATGCACTGCTAATTCTGCGTGGTAAGGTCTGCATTAACTGCTGTTCGTCACAACACTTCCCTTTGTGTCACACTACAACAACTGCATGGACACACACTTGTAGAATCACCCATGTAGTTTTATGTACAGCCTGATAAGTACATTGCAGAAAACATACACAAAGCTCCACTGTAATGCAAATTTCTTGTAGTAGCTCTGGCCATCATTCATGGCTGTGTACTGCCTACAGGATATCATTTGTTTGGACAGTGTAAACATAACACTCTACACATTACCCTGAAACATATAAAACATATATGCCATGTTACACATCTCTACAGCTGTACAGTACATGGATGGTACGCCATGACCATGTCAGCTACTGACAAGCAGAGTTCTGGCCAGCATCTGGTTGTATTTTGGGAAGAGCAGTCCCAGCTCTCGTCACACTCCATTAAGTTAATAACAATACAGATGAGGGCATTTTCTGCACGTATTTTTTAATTTCTGCAATAATTTAAATACCATCAACGTATGATCGACGGCCTATGTGCATACACACTTACTTCTATAAGGCACTAAGAATAGCAGATTAAATCAATACTAAAAATACATATTTTCTTAATCTAGCACAGAGGAATGCATTTATTACACACCATTTAATGTCAAAAACCCAAAATCCAGACTTTCTATATAACTAACATCTTGCCTTTATACATGGAAGACACACACACACATACTGTATATATAAAACACACTATAACATGTGCAGTTATTACCTTTGCAGTCTTTGCAGGTATGCAGAGATCCAAGCTGGGAAATCCTTATGTCTGCTGAGTTCCTGAAGTGCCCAATATTCCTTAAAGGGAAAGTAAAGAGTATTTCAGTGAGTTCATATTTTGTGTTACCCTCAAAGAATTTTTTCTGACTTGGACATTTTTACATGCTCACATTTTCCTTTTTTTGTAATTGTATTAAATGTAGACATTTGTAGATCACCCATTAGAGACAGGGTAGATTAGCTGCTGCAACAGATTAAAATATTTAAACTGTTTTATATCAGTGTTTTACATTTTACTCTTGAGACAGAAAGAGAGACTCAACAACTGAATGTGGCCGTACAACTAGCTAAAGATGATTGACAACCAAGTGATGGGTCGGAAGAAATCCATGGAAACCACGGTGGCAACTTTGGCCCAGGAAGCAGAGAGAAATTGGCAAAGTCTAGCAGAAGTAGTACAGCAGCTTGCAGGCCAGAGTTAGGTTGTGTGTTTGGTTATCCCTCACAACACTGGATCAACCAGGATGAGCCACTTTTTGAAAAAAGTTACACCCCATAATTAAGATAAGTCCTTCCCTTACACCTCCTGGTGGACTGCCGAAAGGGAATCACTCATAGCACATAGCTGACAGCAGAAGTTCTGTGGCATCTGGGGATTATGATTTCTGTGCAGGTCTCACATGTTCACCAGTGAAAATACAAGGTTGGGCTTGTGTCAATGAGAAAATGCAGTGTGCTTCCAGGTACATTCCGCTTGCATTCATTATCAGTTTGAGACACTTCTAAGATCACTTAAAATTAATTGGCAGCTGCAGTTGACCTCCTTCAGACCTACATTTGACCTCATTCTAAGCTGCATTAACCTGCTTGAAGCTGATTTTGCATGGCCATTAACTAATATAGGGAGAGAGGCTGACAGAAAGAAAAGCTTGTCATCACAGGCCCTAGAACTCTTTCAGGGTAAAATGTTAGCCCAAAAGAGGGTGATACAGTATTATTGTAAAAGGTCATAGACTGGCTTGGATGCTTGGAAGCCCCTGTGAGAAAGCCCTGGGGGGTACCTGGGAGTAAAAACAGTGCTGGAATATTTTGAATGAGGACATATTACCACCATGTGTCCTCTGTCCTTGGGCACTATGGAATGTGACACTGGCAGATTGCCCACATAACCTGTGTCAAACATGAGGGTGGCGGTATCATGCTATAGGCTGAATCTTTGAAAGGTCTTTCTTTAGATAAGCATTTCTGCCACAAAACAAAACAATCATCAATCCTTTTTTTACTAACATTTCAATCACTTTCAACCTATTCTTGGAGATCAAATCAAGGATGAGATGGGTTGGTAAATACAAAACATTTTCAAGCCAATTGTGCGGTGTCTGGAACAGTTGATGGATTCAAAATTTCCTACTAGGGATAAAAAGGGGCTATAGACTTTGCTTCATCCCATTTGTACCTTACCCTTGTTTAATTGTTTTAATATGAAATATATTGCGTATTGTGCTTCTCATGCAACTTGTATACGCTCTTCTGACTTAAGAAATATTTACAGTTAAAAAAAAAGGGCTATGGGCATGGAAATGTTGCCAATAAATTTAAAAAGAACAATCAGAAAGCAGCCATTAATTTACTCCAACAATGAGATTTACTGCCAACAATGACCACCCAAAATTAATCAAAATTAAGTCAGGTTAGTTTGGAATCTGAGATGGCCTTACTTTCAATAGATTCTACCACTATATTTCACTGAACATCTTACTTAAAAGAGAACTATGGTTTAAGTGTTTTTCCCCATAGTTCTCCTAAGGGTCACGGGAGGACATATACTAGCGCCCTCCCGTGACCCAAAGCTCAGTATATCGCGAGCTACAGCTGGGGACGGATCCCGACATTATTGTCAAGATCCACCCAGTGCGTGAGTGACAGCGGGCTCTGCCTATCTAGAGGCAGAGCCAGCTGTACCCGCCCCCTCCCCCGTCCGTTCCTCCACTCAGCACTGGAGGATCGGAGCGGGGGGAATCCCTGCAGGGAACTGTGACTGACAGTGACTGCTCTCTGCAGGGAGATGATCGAGAAGTGAGCGAGCGATGGTATGTGTCCCCTCACTTCCCGATCTATTGAGCCGACGTGTGACAGTTTCATTGTCACACGTCGGCTCGAACTATGAGGTGGAGTGAAAATCACTCGCCTCATAGTTCTCCTTTAACCTCAGTGAAGTAACATTTAGCGGTACATTTAAGTAGCATCTTTAATGACCTGTGTATTATCAATCTCTCTCAGTGTACACATCTTCACATACCTCAGGGATGCTGAGACTTGTTAGCTGGTCCATTGTAATCTCACTAAGCTGACGAAATGACATTGTGAAATCGCTCCCAGTGTCTTCCATCAGCTGTAAACAAGAAAAGCCACAATGTGACATAAGATTATCTATATGACCGCTTCACATAATGTCTTCTGTCTAACATACATTAAGGAAGGATGCAATCAAGGTCAGGTCCTCTTCACTCGCACCTAAGAAGCCCAGCTTGGCCCTGAAGAGTTCTGTAAATCTGCAAACAAGAAAGTTATGTGAATAAGTGTTTGTGACATTGATAAAGACCATACTTAAAGCTGATTGGTTACTATGGGCAACTGCTATAGCCTCTGTCTGCTCCAGTTTTGATAAATATACTGTGTACATGGCTTGTTGACAAGTCTAAAGCTGGTTAAATCACATTCCGGTCTCTCAGTACCATCCCTTTTAGAATTACCACCAAACTGTACCCTTCCACCTGACTGCATACAAATTGAACATATTGTTTAATCCCTTCCTGCCCTCAATCCCTATATTAAAGCAGAATTAAATCTTGATGGCTCTTGCCATAATGTGCAAATATGCACTGCATATTTGCACATCATGGCACATTTACCCCTTAGGTCCCATTCACACTTATAAATGTGCGATCACATGATTCTTGCCAATTCCTCCATGAGACTCATGCAATCTGCTGGGGACGAAGATGCTGTACAATACAATAACAGCTGCCAATGCACAAAGCTGTTCACAGGCCTTTTGTAAGTAATTGCAGATGGTGCGATTGCCTGTGGACGATCACACCCGGATGCAGATTGTGTGTGTCCAGAAATAGTCATGCACAGGTAACCGCAGCCTGTGCGATCACTTGCGAATGGCCTGACAGGTCCAGGCTCCAATAATATTAGGCAAATGTGCAGCACTAAACTTTATATCTACAACAGTCCTGTGCTTAAAAGCTCTTGCAACAAAACCTTCAAAATATTTCCCGTATTAATCTTCCACCTTATTAAAAAAAAAAAAAAATCACACCTCCACCACCAAACTGTTAAATGAATACCGCAATGAAACACTCACCCACCGCTCAGCATTAATTTGAAGATTTTGTTGCAAGAGCTTCTGATTAAAGGACTTTTGTAGACACAAAGTTTAGCGCTGCACTCTTCTTTAATGTTATTAGTGTTTGGCACTGTACATTGTTCTTGTTTGTGCTTTTTAATTTATTAGGTCTAGGCTCCTGTCGCCATCATGTCCGCCATTTTCTTCCACTTCCTCCAGGTCCTGTGCATCCTTTTTAGCCACTGGAGGCCGCCGATGTTGTAACTCTTTTGCATATGCACAGACATCATCCTTGTCACTTGGCTCTATTTTCAGCATGCTGAGAATGACCAAGGCTGTGCTAGGAACATACACTGTTCCAAAACCTCTTGCTTCTGGTAAACTTCTAACTGTGGGACTTTAGTTCCGCTTTAATATACCTCAGCACACTGCCTTGGGCTGTGGACATGTAAATAGCTGCCCATAAACAGAACTAGCAGCGTTGTCAGATACAGCGATCAGGAACAAACCAGCATGGTTGCTGATTATGTGATCAGACGACTCAACTGTCATTGTCAATGACAGAAGCAGTCAGCAGGCTGCAGCTATTACAGATATAATTAGTTTGTTAAATAATTGAAAACATTTTTTTAAATATTATTATAAGCCATTAAATGTATCACGTTCATATTTTTGTTATTTTTCAGCTTATGACAAAAAATCTGAGCAGGGTAGTTATTAAAACAGTGTGCCGAATAAAAAAGTTATGAATACTCAAATAATCTAAAAATGATTGAGGAATGCAAAATAGCCATAGAGTTATTGTCACACTAATCAATCAATGCTGAATGTCGTAATGTAACCTGAGCATCCAGACATCAATGATGGTCATGAAAGGGTTAAAGGGGAACTATGGGGAGAGTGAAATTCCCATAGCTAGAGCCAAGGCATGACACTGCAGGTATCACACTCCCGCTATATAGCTTGAGAAGTGAGCGATCACAAACTGCTGATCGTTCAGTTCACAATCTTCTCCCTCCACAGAACGGTGACTGACCGTCATACGCAGGGATTTCCCCCTCCCCTCTCTGTTCCGCCAACATTCACTGGAGGGACAGACAGAGGAGGGGGCAAGCACAGCTGGCTCTGGCTCTAGAGAGGCAGAGCCAGCGATCAATCAGGTAGTAGAGTGGCTCCCGACAATATTGTCAGCATCTTTCCTGGCTGCAGTGCCGCTCTGCGCTTTCCCGTTATATGCTGAGTTTTAGGTCACAGGAGGACATTACTAAATGTGCTCCTGTGACCCAAAAGAGAACGAATGCCAAAAAAGGTTTGGCCATACGTTTAAGCAATCCCTTACGCTAAATACATGTTGACAATTTAAATGAGATTAGAAAGTCAGAGTGCTATACGCATACCAGGTTTAAGAGATATCTAAGGTAAGTCCTACAAAACAATGACCTACCTGTGGTAATACAGATCAGGAAAGCCTGCAAGTACAGTTGAGGCTCTGAAATGGAATCACACAATTGGTTTAGCTATTACAAGCAAGAAAGTGTTTTTGAAATGCAGATCACCTGTATATAAGAGGTACATTTTAGGAGGATGCTTCTGAGTTCAATCACCTTACTGTAAGTTGTCTCTCTCAGGTAGTAGAACTGTGTTCCTGCCTCCATCTGCCTGATGTCACTCACTAGAATGTCTCACACCCCTTGTTGGCATTTTAAATGTATTTGATATTAAAGAATATCTAAAGCCGCAACTTGTTTTCAATTTTGGATAGAGTACAGACTTTTGCTATGTTTCTTTGGGGAGATTTTCTGCTGCTCATCACACAGCAGGAAGTGGGTGGAAATCCTTGTAGAAAAAGGGAAAGTTATACACTGCTCTATTTTTTTGTTCAACCCGGAGGCTGAACAAAAACAATAGAGCAGATTCCTCCATCAATGCTACAAGCGCTTTGATCAAGGAATCCCCACTGGGTTTTGTTTTTTTATTACCCGAACAGAACCGGCTGCTCATTGGCTGCTGGCTCTGCCCATAAGAAGATTTTCCAACTAACTCCTTTGAACTGCTGATAGAGTAATGCCGGCCGAAAATCGCCTAGTGGGTGCCGTTGTTGCCATCCTTTCATTTGGCGTTCCTCAAGAACCAGCCGAAATTTGCACAGTGTATGGCTACCTTTAGACAGCTGACACCAGAACAGGTGTCCCCATATGAAGATTTCTCCTCTAGTCCAGTTCTGATGACAATGCCATTTTTATGTCTTTTCACTTACTTCCAGTCCCAGTGGCAATGGTTACCCAGACAAATAAAGGTTGGGCAGCCAACTACCCTGCAGATCCTTTGGAACCAGAAGTCCCAAAATGCACTGAATGGCTGTATCACATAATTTCTAACACTAATGATTTCATTACATGATGCCTCTATAACAAGCTCCAGCTGGCACACAGCGCCCTCTGCTGTTGTAGAAGAGAAAAGCAAAACGCATGTAAGGTTGTTCACTGCTTTTTTTTTAACATCCATACTTCCAACTTGCTCTAAATCACTATTGGTGCATGCTAGCTGAAGGAATTGTACCTGCCAATGAGACTTAGATGAAATACTAACTTAGAGCATATTCAAAGCCAAAACATTTTCTTTAGCTTTGCCTAGAGTAAACAAGAATTAAAACCACTTGTGTGGCATTGGAGAGATTTCCATTCACTTCCTTTCCTGTAGATTCAACAGAAAGTGGGAGGAAATCTCTCCAAAGTGACGGAAATCCCCTCTCAGCCCGTTGTCACTGGGGCAGTTGTCTCCATTTGAAGATTCGGCCTATGTTTAAGTTCTGGTGATGACTCCAATGTTCTCTTTTGCTGAGTTTTGGTGACTATAGTCAGTGATACAAAAAGGATGAATCGAGCAGGGTCACACACAGCAATAATAACCCCTCAGCAGCCCCTATCCAAAACTAGAAAATAAAGTTTTGCTTTTAGATAAAATTGAAAGTGTATCTAAGCCCAAAAACATAGAATATATTTATTGCAGCTTACCAGTCAATAAATGTAGTGGCTGAATTTGTTTTCGTTCTTTCTTTTCACCTGGTGATACAGCCAGTAACACACTTCCTGTCTTAGGGTGGCTCCACTCTATGAAGGAGCAATGGAGCCACCCTTGGACAGCAGCATTGTTACCCTGTGGGGAGGGTGGTGTTACATGGGCTTGGCTAACAAATTAAATCTGAACTCCAGCTAACATGTTTTAAGCAGTTACACCAACAGGTTTTTTTTTCCTTTTGGGATAAAGGTTTTACATAAATAAATGAAAACTGACCCTTATTAGCACCCCTGTCAGTGTTAAATGGTTTGTCTCAACCTTCTGTCTGCCACTTCTGCTGGACAGCTTGGCCTGTTAAAGGAAGTTGAAAAATAAACTTACTGGTTAGATCACCAGTTGAAAATAAAGAAAAATAGCCTAAAAAAAGCCACCACATCTAAGGACTGGTAAGCTATGAGATATAACATTTTTGCTTTTGGGTTTACATACACACTTTATGGTGCAATTGTATATAGGAAAATGATCGGCTCCGACGACAATACACTATTGCTCATTTCGAAGATTTTATTTTTTTGACAGAATACTGTGCTCCGGCTTTAATAGAGAGCCGGGTTGGTATTCCAAAAAGTTAAACTTGCAGAAGACCCACCTAGATCAAAGTCTCAAAAACCCAACGCTAATATATATACAAGTTAGGGTGAATTAGCATGTTCATTATGCTTCCACCAAGCTGTCATTCTGTTTTCTAGTAGGGGTCTGCTAAGATAAACAGCTCATTCCATCTGTCATTGGTCATTTATCAACACAACATTATTCTAAGCTGTCATAATCCTCCCAGGGACCCAGTATCAACATCTTCAAAGAGGGCACAGGAAAGCACACACTCCCGGCGGCTGCCCCTGTTGCCACAGTACCAACGTCTTGGGGTCCTAGGTGCAGACAGGATGAAGGTGTTTATAACTTGGGGGGTGAGGGGGATACTCACAGTTGCCTTTGTCTGCTGTCCATAAGAGGGTTCAAAGCTTGAAGCAGCTTGTTCAGATTATACATTCCAACGTTGGCCTGGTTTCCGATCCTATACCTTCCTTCATCGTCAGATGTGTTTGGAATATAATCTATTTAAAGCAAACACACAATGTATTACTGAGGTACAGGGGAAAAAAAACAGCAATTAAAATAAATACCCGGAGCAGCCAGTTCAACAATAGCCATTATTTCTGACTTGATATTTTGGAGGAACTTAAGCCTTTCCTCGCAGTGCGCTGCAAGTTACAGGTTGTTTATTTTGATAGGACTGGCTGCAGACTTCCAGATGGTCTTCAACATCATCTTCCTCACGGGCACAAATTGTCAGGCAATTGATTTCTAGAGCTACATAATAAACCTTACATGTTATGTTAACCAGAGTAATCTGTGAGTAAGCTGCAGCGGCTTCAGAATGCTCATCTATCATCCTAAACATTTGTTTTCTTTCCAAAATACTTTAAATCCTTCCGTGCTGGGGGCAAAGGGCTATTGAAAACTAGACTGAACTTGGTGTTCTGTACTCGTCATGAAAATGTTGCTGGTACTGGTACAATGTATTTATTTACAGCATTTATGTAGCACTGAAATTTAAAAAAAATTATCTTCCTGCCAAAATGTTTTCGATAGAATCATGGAATCATAAAAATCCATGTTTTTTGTCTGTCGGGAGATATCTATTCACTTCCTGAGAAACAGGAAGTGAGTAGCGATCTCTACAAAGTAAGGAGATGCCCTCTCTTAAGCTGGCCCAACGTATAGTTTTTTTCTTGTTCGGCCCGCAATCCAAACAAGAGAAATCCACTTTATTTTCCCATTCATGCTAAACAACATAGATGGGGAGAATCTCTCCTGCCAGACCATGGCTGTTAGAATACCTAAACAGTGACTGCATCTGATTGTCAATTTTCCATCCAGCTCCTTTGATTTTTCAACTGAAGTTTGATGGACGTATGTCTTTATTCAACCCCAAATACTATGTAACTATGTAAGGCAGGTGTCGATGCCAACAAGGACACCAACAGATAGAATTTTTACAGTGTATGGCCAGCTTTAGACATCTGTCTCTGGAAAAATTGAAAAATGTCCCCTAACCTTCTGTTCTAGTGACAACTCTATCATTTTGGATTTCCCAACCCTTTCTGTCCCAGTGACAACAGTCCACAGGACAAACACAAAGGATAAACCTTTCTAGCGTGGACAAAAAAAAACCTTCTCTACTCTGTCCCAAAAAAGGATTAGAGTTACACTTTACATATTGAAAAATTTTCCAACCGCCTCCTTTGATCAGCTGATCGAGGAATGCCGGCTAAAAGGGAGCCCGACAGCTCCACACACAGCTGGATCAAGAAAAAAATGCATGAGCTTCATCTAATGGCAGTGTCCACTTAGACTCTAGCAGTCTATAATTCTCTGTAGTTGCATTTGTATGCTCAACAGGCATGGCACCCAGAAAGGCCAGTGTGTGCTCCTTCTGCTGGTTCTTCCATCCTACACCTGGATTCATGTGGCTTACCCACAAACTGCAACCTGCAACAAGGGTCGTATTCATGTATTTTAGTGTCTGATTTAAGTTAGTTAGTTAGTTAGTTAGTTAGTTAGTTAGTTAGTTACTCCTGTGCTCATTTCACAGATTTGAATATTCAACAGCATCATATTTAACATTTGGAATCTCACCAGCATCATATTTTTCCATGAAGCCAAATGGACCATAATCAATGGTGATTGAAAGCAAGCTGAAGTTATCGGTATTGCACACACCTATGTGTAAACACAAGTTACAGGAAGCAAATCAGTAAAAACAAAGAGTTAGGTCTTACAATAGGAGCATGAACTATAAAAGTTCAGCAATACGTACATTTTAAAGCTGAAGTTGAGGTAAACAACTAAAAGCACAATTAAAGTACATAAAAGGGAGCTGTTTTACATGCTATAGAATTTGTATTTGTGTCCATCCAGTTCTGAGATTTACACAACCCTTCCAGACAGCAGAGCTAGATTGGTGACTTTTCTCCACTGCAGTTAAGCAATACAGCTTGGTCATCTACTTGTCCCCTGCCTTCGATTGGGCAATGAAGGAGTAGCAGCTGACTGACAAAGTCATCTCCCTCCTCCTGTCAGCATGATTCTTGTCAGTACATGTGCATGCAGCACACCTAATAACAATCTACTTTATTGCATTTGAATGGATACTGTGTGGCAGGATCCGGCTGATTATTTTTTTTTCTTCTAATGATAAATTATAAACATGCATGCTTTGATTTCCCCATGTGTGTATTCCCTGCCCTCAACAGACACTTATTTCCAGCAACCCCGTGAAAGCTTTGCCCAATGTATGGAAACATATAAAACTCCGAATAAAATATTTTGTACTCTAATTACAGTACTAGAACAACAGTTTTATATATTGCTTACCAGTTCTTGCCAAATCAGGAGAGCAGCCTAGGGTGACAGCACTGCTCTCCCCATAGATACAGTACAGTCAATGACTGTTGTCACTCTAATACATGAATTATGTTACTGGCAGGTAATAAAGTAACTCTATGTTATCCTAATTAATGTAGTACTTGAGTGGAAAAGAAATTCTGTGAGCACAGTAGAACAAAAGTGAGCCATTTTTTAAATAGATTAAAACCCGAACCTCCTGTAAAATGTCAGGTATGTTTAAATTTGTCAACGAAATTCCAAAAGTTGTTCTAAGGCCTTGTTCACACCAAGCGCGGAGCAGATCCAGACCAGAGCAGGTGCAGACCGGATCAAAACTGCGTCCAATGTATTCCTATGGTATTTTGAGCTCCAGTTCACATCGCAGCGTGCGGATCCAGACCAGATCCAGACCGGATGAAAAAACTGCGGCAAGCCCTATTTTACCTGCTCTGGAACGCATCAAAAACGCATCTAAAACGCAAAAACGCATCAAAAACGCATGTAAGTGCCTGAAAGCCCATGTTAAACTTTTTTTTTAACCAAAACCGGCCCTAAACGCATCAAAAACGCGTCTAAAACACGTCAAAAACGGGACACAACCCACTGCACTGCGTGTGCAGAAACCTGACCGGATCTGGTCTGCATTTGGTGTGAACAAGGCCTTAGTGTTAAATCTGCTTCTTTCATCACAAAAAAATGGTGATCCTGCCATAAGGGCCTTTAATCAGGTACTATCTGTTATAGGGTTACAACTGCCCCCCAATTATGCTCCTGCATTGTCACCTTGTCACATGCGCACCTGGTGGAGACTGCACGTGGCAGTGGTGACGCACACCGCCAGGCATGGCCCACCATTTTCAGGAAACTGGACCAGCTGGAGCATGTGCATGTAGACAGGATGTAACTAAAAGAGGCTACAGGAGATCAGTAGCAGGAAGATCCAAAAAATAACAAAAAAAGGTGAAAATAGGATTTTTTAAAAAGTGGCAGTTATTTATGATAGGCAAGACTTTGGAAAAATATAGGAATAGTCATCCAATTAGGGCTTGGATCTACTTTAAAGTGACATTAAACTCAGGAGTTAAATATTCAAAATGCATTCAAGTCCCTTAAATATTAACAAAAAATGTATCTTATTTGTGTATCACTCGGCTGTAGATCCTCAAATCATCTCTGAATTGGTGCCGACATGGTCCCTGTGTGTGTTATAAAGTAGTCAGCACTTCAAGCTCGCTACTAGGATGAACTACAATCTCAATAGAAATTAGTAAAATAAACATGAGATTGTAGTCCATCGTCTACCGTTGTAATTGAAAATTGCTAAGTGTCTGAAAAACACATTTTTAATATGTCTCCTCCCTCAGAGGTCACCATCTTATGTAATAGGCAACTATCTGGTAGCTCGTACACTCTCTGATTGGAGGTCGCTAGGTATGGGGGAGAGGGTCCTACTAGCTTGCTCTGCATTGGAAAATCAGCCTACCTATTACAGTAAGTGACACTCCTAGACAAACATCTGGAAGACACCGACCTGGACAACTCCCTTAGAAACAGATATTAATACCTTTCAGCTTGTTGAAAGAGTTCTACTATACCACTGCAGCTGGGAACATTGCAGATCCTTTTGATCAAGTGATACTTTTTCTCAGCAAATGAAAAAATATGTCTCTGGATGTTTGCTGCCAGAAGCAGGGCTGGATTTACTCTCTCTGCTGCCCCAAGGCCAGGTTCCCCAATGCGCCCCCCTACACGCCAACCCTCACCCCCACCCCACCCCCACCACCATGGAGAATGGCACACCTGCAGGCTGCATACAAGTGAACATCACCAAGATAACTTGTACAAAACAAGCGGCGGCTTCCCCTCTGTACATGTAGCTCTGCTTGCCCAAAGCAGGGCTAAATGTAGAAAACAACTGCCCACCCGGCGCCCAGAACTGCATGTCCCGGGCGTCGGGAGATAGGAATTCCACACCCCTGCTGCCTCGAGGCCGGCCTTAGTTGGATTTGGAGTTTGGTGAGTAATCACTGCAAATTCTATGCCCAGTCCATGGACAATAGTCGTGAATCACAGCTGCACAGTAGCACGAACACGATTCACCCACACAATGCCGACCATAGAACCTACTTGCTGCAATCACTGAAATGTTACGTAGGCGGAAAACGGTTTACAGTAAGAGCGATTGACTCTTCAAGAGAAAGCAATTATACTGAAATGTGTTTATTTTTTTCTATTAACCATTGCTTCTGCATCCTGCAACTGAAAATACCAGGGGTATCTGCAACTCTGCAAATGTTTATTTCTGTTGAGACCAAAATGACTTTTCTGCTTACTCTGTTGTTTGTGATTACCGGATCGTTCTGTGGTGGAAACATTTCTGGCAGTTATACTGAACATCTTTAGAACACATTGATTGATCATATAGTGCACTGTTCCCACATAATTCATTATGGTAATGTCAGTGGTCCTTTTTTTGGTGGGGGGGGGGGGGC